CAAGTGTGCTAATATCATTGTCCAGGTATGTCACCCGAGCGCTGATTATTAATCGAGTGTGTTCTCACCATTCAACGAGTTTTGCTGTCATCACCGCTCAAGTGTGCTAATATCATTATCTAGGTATGTCACCCGAGCGCTGATTATTACTCGAGTGCATTCCCATCATTCAACGAATTTTGCTGTCACCACAGCTCAAGTGTGCTAATATCATTGTCCAGGTATGTTGCTCGAGCGCTGATTATTACTCGAGTGTGTTCTCACCATTCAACGAGTTTAGCTGTTATCACCGCCCAAGTGTGCTAATATCATTGTCTAGGTATGTCACCCGGGCGCTGATTATTAGAGTGTATTTCCATCATTCAACGAGTTTTGCTGTCACCACGGCTCAAGTGTGCTAATATCATTGCCCAGGTATGTTGCTCGTGCGCTCATTATTACTCGAGTTTGTTCTCACCATTCAACGAGTTTAGCTGTTATCACCGCTCAAGTGTGCTAATATCATTGTCCAGGTATGTTGCTCGAGCGCTCATTATTACTCGAGTGTGCTCTCACCATTCAACGAGTTTTGCTGTCATCAACGCTCAAGTGTGCTAATATCATTGTCCTTGTATGTTGCTCATTATTACTCGAGTGTGTTCTCATTCTGCGAGTGTGATCTTGCCATTGCTCGAGTGTGCTTTAATTTTTGTCCTCGGGTCAACCGGGGTTAGACTCTCAGATGTGCCTGTAATAAAAAAGAAAGTTTGCTTTGATGTGTAAGTCATTATCCTCTTCAAATTACGAGCCTATAAAATACAGTACATGACCAATGTCGACGGATAAAAGTCAAATACAGAATTGAAAATATTGTGTGGTCGAAATGAGTTGTATGTACGATTCCACGTTTCGACACTTAATGGCACAATACACCGTTGCTTATATATCTGGAATACCAGGCTTTTCATAAAAATCACCAAACTTTCTGAACCATCAAAATTACATTTTTTTCATTTTTGAAAGTATGGAAAATGAATGTTCTAAAATGTCGAGTTGAGAAAGTAAATCAAGGAAACTTTAATTAGTCTTAAGACTACAATCATTTACAAAAAATTTCACTGTCCAGTTAATTTTCCTGTCCAGACTAAAGGATATTTGAAAAATCTCAATTCATTTTTTGAATACAATGAAATCAAGCAAACAAATGGCCATGGTACATTTCATTTCATACGAGGAACGGTATTCTATAGTTCAGTATTTGAAGATCTTAACGATTGTTAATGTCATGTAGACAGTATTAAATTTTGATTACGAAATTATAACTGTTAATGATCATGGGTTTTCAAGATATCTCTTGAAATTCCATGGTTTGATATACAGAGAACTAGCGTTTCCTCTCGACTCGATGTCTTGTTCAATCACCATTGTTCCCGAACACATACCATAATTGTACTGTTGGACCATAAAATGGGTTAAATAGAATGATTAAATATTACCCTCTGCCTGCCACTGCTAAATCTACAATTTAGTCAAAAAACTTAACAATTTTTACTATTACTGCTTTACCTATGTACTTTTGATGAATGTTCTTTATGAATTCCAGAAATAAAAATATTCAATAAAAATATAAATTCCAATTGTTTGTAATGACATTTTTCGATAGATAAAAATGCTATAAAACAAGGCGTCGGTAAATCGAATATGCTGGACCATTGTCTCATAATCGCTTGTCTGATGGAGTATTTATCAAAAGGTTAAACATTAAATAATGAACGCAAGTTCGCTTTGATATCAATAAAACATTATATCAATACAATGACACAGCGAATAATCATTTTCGCGCTTTGAAATGTAACAACAACTTAACACGATGCTATGAACGTGATCAATTACAACACGTATTGTGCATCCTGAGTGTCTGAATGTGTATACGTGACCAGCAACGGCACCTCATAGTGTCAGTGTCATGAAACAACAAGCAGTTGTAGAAACAACATCAGTCGTACAGTTGCAATGTGACATTGATGGTCGATGAGTGAATCCGAAGTCGAAATACATTCTGATACTCATAGCATCTTTCTGTTTCACTCAGGGCTGAGAAGAAATGAGATGTCATGGTTAATCATAATGCCTGAAATATGGGAGTCTTAAAATTAAACGTGGACATTTAGGCTTCAGAGTATATTTTGAAATCAAATCATTTCCCTATGTCTATAAATATTCTATAAGACAGCGTGTTCTTAAACGTTGCCTGAATGTTCTCTTTTAAATAACTTGAGTACGCTTTCGTTATTGCTTGATTGTACTCTCATCATTGTACAGATGTTCTCTAGACATCCACCAAAAGTTACTTATTCTTGTCCTACTGTGCTATCATCAATGCCGAAACGTGCCCTCGCCATTAAACTAGTTGCACCACACCGTGCTTTTATACCATATTCCATTGTTTGAGTGTGCTCTCGTCATTGTCCGCGTGTGCTCTCATCATTGCCGGACTGTGCTTTCATCCTTACCTGAATAATGTGCTCTCATCATCACCAAGCGTACTCTCAAAATTGCTCGACTGTGTTTTCATGCTTGCTTGAGTGTGCTCTCATCATTGCTGAGAGTACTCACATCACTGTCCGAGTTTATTTTCATTTCAACCTGAGTGTGGTTTCTTTACTGCCTGAAAATACTCTTATCAATAACAGAATGTCGTTCCTCCGATTGCGCTTTCATCCCAGTCTGAGTGTGCTCTTATCATCCCCAATTACTCTTGTATGGTCTTATCGTTGACTGAGTGATTTTTGTTCATTGCCCAAGAGAGCTTTCGACATCATTAGAGCGTCGTCTCAGAATGCACACTTGTGATCACTGCACTATGCTCCCATAACTGCCAAAATGCACTCCGAATGTTCCTTGCCTTTAAAACCTTTCTTAAGTGCGCTTCAGTCAGCGCCTGAGATATCTCCCATGATTCCAGCATATTCTGTTGAATAGAATTGGTGAATGGTGTGTGCAAGTTGCCAATGGGTTACGGGTGATCTTACTCAGTTAAATTATCTCTCAACAGAGCCACGAGGGCTCAACTGGATGTATTCGTTTCAGCATGGCCAAACTTTCGGTAGAAGAATTTTTAGTTTCTAGGTTTTATCACCTTTATCCTTTAAATTTCAACTTGATATTTGGCCCGTATATAGTGCGTAGGTTCCGGTTTTGAATATGATTATGTGTACATCTCAGAAATAAATGATGTGTAAATTGAATCGATATTTAACAATCAGTTCCTTCGATTAGAAACGAAGACAGTTTTCCGTTTTGTAGCAAGATACGAAGACATATTTAACTTGCAACAAAGACATATTTCTATTACGATAGATATTAGATACAGTATACATCGAGGATATCCTATGATTTTTGAGGGATACCATTTTTATCCATGAGTGGATATCGCTCATCTCCACGAATGAGCGCAGCGAATGAGTGGAGATCGGCGATATCCAAGAGTGGATAAAAATAATAGCCGAAAAAATCATAGGATATCATATTTATCCGATGGTCGCTATTTTTGTATGGACTTCAAATAATTTGACCTAAAGTTGTTGTTTTCTAATTCTATTCTATTTTTTTTCATTTTATTTTCTGTGACCTCAGTTTTATAAAATGATTGCATGAAAAAATGTAACTCATTTTAACTGAGCATATAACCTTGGAACTTTTCAAACTTTTTCCAAATATTTTTTCAATTTTTTCCAATTTTCTTTCATTTTTTTTATTACTATAATTTTATTTTCAAATTTTTTCAGATTAATTTTCAATTTTTTTTCAAATTTTTTTTCAGAACTTTATTTTCAATTTAAAAAAAAAATAGTGTCTTGGAGCGAGGAAATTATCCAAACAATTGTGTTGTATTGTATTGTCTTTATTGCCCATAATAAAATGTAGATACAATTTATATGTACAGTGATGTAAAATAAAGGTACAAAATTATGACAATTACTGTATTACTGTATTTCTTGGGTGTAATCATATTTCGAATCTACGCAGTCCGTACCTTGTCAATTATTTAGTTGAAATTTTATGCGTAAAGTGATAAAATCGAGGAAACTTAAATTCTTATCAAATTATTCTACCGGAAGTCGAAGACCAGCCATGTTGAAACCAAGACATGATGTCTTCATTTCTAGTTGATCCCCAGCAGTTAATAATTTCAATATTGGCATGGATATAATGTGGTCTCGAATGTCATCATGTCCTTTACATGTACTCGGTAAGTTTCCGTTCAATACCATCCTGCTCCTGCTAATGTTTAATTTTCTCTCAGTCTCAAGATTGCTAGTATTTAATATTCTATTTAAGCCCGAGATCACAGGGGTGGGGGTTTGAAAGAAAAGTTATTCGACCATTGTCAGCTCCGTATCATATGTTATAACCACGCCCACTAGCTCATCGATACTTTTTAGGGAGCGCCTCAACTCTCTGGATTCTGCAAATGGTTGTTTGATTGACCCCTCTCTGATTGTGTTCTTTCCTACACAAACGCATTGTGGTGGGTACGATCTCCATCGCACGTATTCATTGCATTGACTATAGTCGTTTACTGCATTCGGTATTCGTAGTTCTTGTGATATCGCACACATTTTTGTAATAAAAGCCTTAACACATTAAATTTTAATGTTTGAGTGAAACATTCATAAACCCCCATTGAAAGTTGGAAATTAAATGGAATTTTAAAACAATGTTTCACTTTTATTGATTGTTCTTATATCCTGTTTTACAGATAGTTTTATTGCCTCAAACAATCTACGTTTTATAGACATGAAATAAAATTGGTACATCTCTAAAGCATCTCAAAGAATATCAGTCAGTTTTATTGAGATTCTTTCACTCTCAAAATAGACCTATTTCAAATCAAATTGAAAAGATCTGATCATTACGATGGCGATGATCGCAGTATAAAACCAAACTCTGGTTCAATGAGCAGAAATTCACGGTGCGCGTTCAGTAATCACTGTCACTGGACAATACATTAAACAAAGATGAATTCTCTAACTTTGTTAGTTTGCATCGTTGCTTTTGCCGTCATTCAGAATTTTGCAAGTGGACAGTACCCACGTAAGTATCACATGTGCTTCGATTAAGTGATGGTTGGTTTATATCTAAAATTAGTTTATTGACTCATCTTTGCAATATTTTGCGATCTTTTTGATTTCATTAGGTTTAATCTTAAGCGAACTTTTCATTTATAAACTAATTGTAGCATGTGTAGTGGACTATCCGCGAAGAATTTATGACCATATATGGTGTCTCTAATTAAAATATTGACATTAACAAAGTACTGCACGTGTATCCCTCAACATTTACTAGCATCAGGAAATCTGATGTTTAAAAATAGATTTCAAATGGTGGAAGGACCCGGGAATTGCGAATATTTGACCAGATTTATTGATTCAAGGGTAGGGAAATTGACACATTTATTTGGCCCCGGGGTAAGGAATTAGACAGGCTAATTTTTTTGTCAAATTCCCTACCATGCCCGCGTGGGGGGTCTCACGCAAACTTTTGAATGGTGCATTACATGTGTGTTTTTTCTTGTATTTTATTATATTGCTCACACGAAAAAGTTTGAAGAAATACCACTTCAATGTTAAATATATGTAAAGGTATATCTCCCATTGATTGCATAATTCAAGATTTTGACAAATATTAATACGAGCGAGAAAGAGATCTGAGATCTCACCTTCTTTTCAACATTCCCAAAAATGCAAATGTCCACTTCATAAGTCTCCAGTGTTGAGACTAATAAATGAAAGAAATAACTTTTGATATAATATCTAATAGAATGTGTTTCAGCTTCAAACAGTTTTCCTTAAAATAACTCAATAAATTATGATTTATTGATATCTAGAACTTTATAAGTCATTGCACCAAACATGCCAAAGTTAATACTTTACGTATACAGGATAAATGAAATAATTGTGCACGACAAAACTAAGTCTTTGAATGAAAACTGAAAACAGCTCCTTTACGTTAATTGTGAAAAACAGGGCAATAGTTCATTCATACAACGAAGCGTAAATCTTTCTACGTTCCCTATTATTTAAGGTGGCCTATAACTTTTTTATGCCACCACCAATAAGTGGTGATATTTTGTTATGGTCTCCGTTTTTTTGTGACGGCGGTTGGTGGTTGGCGGTTAGTGATTGGCGTCTGTAACAAATTTGGTTGGCGTCTGTAACAAATTCTTAACTTCCAATAACTTAATTCAAATACTGTTTAGACTAACTTCATTTTTTATCAAAATCATGTACAAGTTTTCAGAAGTTCAAATCTGATTTAATGACCTTTTCAAGGTAAAAAAAGGTTTATGATTGGCGGGTTGTGTCTGTAACAAATTCTTAAAACTTCCAATAACTTAACAAATACTGTTTAGACTGACTTCAACTTTTTTCAAAATCATCTATACGTTTTCAGAAGTTCAAGTTTAAGATTTGACCTTCAATGACCTTTAGAAGGTCAAAAGAGTTAAAAATGTCAAAAAGGTATTTTTCAACTTGCTTCAGATTGATTAAATTTTTTTTCAAAATCATGTACGAGTTCTCAGAAGTTCAAATCTGGCTATAGATTTGAGATTTGACCTTCAATGACCTGCTCAAGGTAAAACAGGTCAGAAAGGTATTTTTTCAACTTTTTCAACTTTTTTTGACCAATCATTTTTCTAAATCATCTACAACTTCTCAGAAATTCAAATCTGACTTTAGATTTGACCTTCAATGGCCTTCTCAAATTCAAAAAGATTAAAAAAGGTCAAAATGTATTTTTCAACTTGCTTCAAATTGATTAAATGTTTTCTTCAAAATCATCTACGGGTTCTCAGAAGTTCAAATCTGACTATAGATTTGAGATTTGACAATCATTGACCTTCTCAAGGTCAAAAAAGTCAAAAATGTGTTTTTTCAACTTGCTTGAAATTGGCTTAATTTTTTTAAAAATCATCTACAAGTTCTCAGAAATTCAAATTTAACTTAAGATTTGTGATTTGACCTGGTAAAAAGATCTAAAAGGTCTTTAGTTTAAAAAAGGTCAAATATAGTTTAGAAACATTTGTTCTCTCAAATCGTAGGAAAATGTGTCCTGATAATTTGTGGAAAGTTTCACGCTTCGTTCCATGAATGAACTACATGTACAGGGTGATCACTAAGTTCTGGGAATTTATCTGTCATTTCATTATTTTTCAACCAATTTACTTGAAATTTTCAAGGTAAATGGGGAATGTAATTTTGGGTTGGATAGAACAGTCTCATTGTCATCTGATGTCACAATGGATAATAATTGTTACTATAGCAACATGACAAATGGCGTAGCGGGTCAAGTTAAATAAAAATGAATTCTAATTTTGCTTGATCCAAAAGTATGGTTAATAAATACCTATTTGGTAGACATATTTCTGTGATTTTTCATATTTTCAAATACTCCTAACTTCAGTTTCTAAAGTAACATCTGTATTGTTATATAAGAGTGTACTTTGCTCTATTTTCGTATCATTCATCAGGATCCCAAAGTCAGAATTACGACTCAAAATAGCGGGGAGTTTTCCAGTATGACTAAGCTCCTTCCCATTACTCAAGCTGCCCATACTACTCTTGAAGAATTAGGGTTCACACAAGTTATTACTGCCCCATATTCACCAGACAATATTCACCAGATGAAGCATTAGGCTTCACTACATTTTGGGTGCTAAAGCATTATATGAGAGGTCATAAGTTTGATTCTGATAAGGGACTGATTTCAACGGCCTTGGCAAATCTTCAAGGGATACAAAAGGGAGGACTGGAACACATCTTTATGGACTAGGTTTGTCAACAACGCATGTGCGTCCAGGCTAATGGAAACAATTATAAATGAAATGATCCTCTCAGCAATGAAGAATACTTCTGAATAAATGACTTCAAGAGTACTGTTCTGCCTCTAGTACAAGTAGTTTGAAGCAACCATCTAGGCAAGATGAATATGTTTTGGCAGGAAATTATCAGATTAACATCAGTCAAAATTTGCTGACCCGCAGACCACTTTTACTTTTTTTGTAATTACAATAAAATAAATTGTAGATGTGATATGTATATGAAACATTGCTTGTCAATTCATAATTATACAATGTACACCTGCTGAAAATTTCAACTCAAATGGTTGAGAGATCTTGAAATGGCAGACCAATTCCCAGAACTTAATGATCACCCTGTACATATTATTTTACAATGAATTCCATATCACTTTGTTCGTACACATGAAATATATAGTGTATAGAAGGGAGGGGTCAAAAGTAACAGAAGCAAGACTACCAAAAAAGTTTTTCTTGAGTATATGCCATGGGAAAATTGAGTAATTTGATGTTTTAGCCTGTACCGATGACCCTCCAGATGGAACTTGCAAGAAAAAATGTAATACGAGTGAAGTAGCGGTCAAAGTAAAAGGATGCCCTAGGTCGATTCGAAGGTGCTGCGTCAGAAGTAAGTTTAATCCAAGACCTAACTCCTAAATGGAGTTGATGGAAGTATAGTAAATTATTAGGTGCATGCTGCGGTGGAACTATTTGGTGTCAATTTACTAACAATTATAAAAATACATATTCGTTTATGTATATATATATTGTTTGTATTTTGAAGGAATGTGAAGGAATAAAAGTCCTACAACACAACACAACACAACAGAACAGAACACAATACAATACAATTAATACAATACATATTGTATGTAATACAAAAAACGCAACCCAAAGAAATCGCTATATCCTGGAAAATTCTAATCCAATTGTGTTCATATTTTCAGGAAAGAAAGAAGAGACTGTGTATGTATAGTTCCTGTTGTTAGTTAGTTGTAAAACATGATATCTTGGACACTTGCTCAAAAGACAGTTGTACTAGCAAAATACGAAAAACGTGAATGGAAAATCACTATATCTTGGAAAATTGTAATTCAATTGTGTTCATATTTTCAGGAAAGAAAGAAGAGACTGTGTATGTATAGTTCCTGTTGTTAGTTAGTTGTAAAACATGATATCTTGGACACTTGCTCAAAAGACAGTTGTACTAGCAAAATACGAAAAACGTGAATGGAAAATCACTATATCTTGGAAAATTGTAATTCAATTGTGTTCATATTTTCAGGAAAGAAAGAAGAGACTGTGTATGTATAGCTCCTGTTGTTTGTTAGTTGTAAAACATGATGTCTTGTACACCTGCTCAAAAGGCAGTTGTACAAGGAAAATACGAAAAACACGAATTGAAAATCACTATATCTTGGAAAATACTAATTCAATTATGTTCATTTTTTAGGAAAAGAAAGAAGATATTGTGTATGTATAGCTCCTGTAAATGGTTAGTTGTAAATTATGATGCATTGGACACCTGCCCAAAAGACAGTTGTACTAAGAGAATACGAAAAACGCAGTCAGAGGTGACTGCCACAGGAATAAAACCTAACAACTTTCTAGCCATAGTGTTTTGACACTTCAGATTTGGCACAAATTATCCTCATTCAATGTGTGGTGAATTTGTGGAGTTTCATCAAAATCCCTTCAGGGACTTTACAGTCATGGTCAAAATACCTTCTGAAGTCTGCTGGAACCAGGGCGTTTGACTGCGATTTGAAAGCATTTCGACCATAACTGTCAAGTCCCTAAAGTGATTTTAATTTCACTTTGTAGATTTACCATACAGTGAATGAAGATGATTTGTGCCAAATTTGAAGAGCCAAAACACTATGGCTAGGAAGTAATTTAGTTTTTTTGCGGTTGCAGTCAGCCCTGACTGGGTTTTTCGTATTCTCCTAGTACAACTGCCTCTTGAGCAGGTGTCCAATGCATCATGTTTTACAACTAACCAACTACAGGAGCTATACATACACAGTCTCTTCTTCCTTTCCTGAAAAAATGAACATAATTGAACAAGTATTTTTCAAGATATAGCAATTTCTTTGGGTTGCGTTTTTTTTGAACACCCTGTATGAAGGAATAAAAGTCCTAAAATGCAACACAACACAACACAATACAATACAATATTAAGAATTTTAATTTCATGTAAAATCTGTTCTTACAAATTTTCTATATACACTTATATCAGAAATAAAACACTTCATGACAAAGTTAAGATTTCAAAACTCCTTTTACTCCATTAAAAGTACCCGTTTGATTGATAAGCGGAAAAAGCATGAATACACACGATTTTTATACTTGTGCGAAGCAAGATTAGCCCCTCCCAGAAAATATATGCTTTACTTGATGTTCTGTTCTAGGGAAATGTGCATTATTTCAATGTTCCAGAGTGTGAACCAGATAACGGAATTTGCCGGGAGAAAAAAGAAGATTGTCCTAAATATGGAGAAGAATATAGTAATTCATTCATGTGCCGAAGCATAAGGAAACCCTACTGCTGCGGTAAGTTTTTTAATCATACAAAAAAGGATTGGTATCGATATAGCGAACTGAATTGAACACCCGCTATGGCCCAGTGGCAGAGAGAGTCAAGGTTACCAATATCGCTTGGCCCAGGGTTCGATTCCCGGTTCAGACAAGTTTGTTTGTGCGTTATGTAATTCTGGGTGTTTGACTGAGTGGTTCACGACTCGTATAAAAGGCTGTGGTGTGTACCTGTATGTCTGTGTACCTGTGCACATAAAAGAAAACAGGGCTCCTCCAAGGAGGGGTTTCTGTCTCTATCTTCGAGTGTAAAATACGTAAAATACGGAATATACCAATGAGGTATTGCTCGCCAAATATGGTCATTAAAAAATTCTGAAAATTGTAAACATCGTCAATTTAATGATCATCTTTTGAATGCAAACATTTTAATTTGAAAAAAGTATATAAACTTTTCTCTATATTGTTTTAGAAAACACATCAGACACTGTTTTGTTCTTGGTATCATATGTTTGGAATGAAACGAGGCATCTTTCCGAACCTCATTGGAACAAAACGATACATACACAACGTGTTTAGGTCTCTCAATATTGTAATTGTACAAAGGAAAGATTGGTTGATTTAAAATAGTATCTTGTTAAAGTCCCCATGTAAAGTTTGAAAATATTTTTTATAATTTATTTCCTATTTATCATGACTTTAAATATACTTGAAAAAAAATTTGCAAAAAATTGTGAGCATTTCATTTATCAAATATTCAAATTTCCCGCCATTTTTCAGAAAAAGTTTATTGATCATTTTAAGTATTAAGTATTTTAATCATCAAATATTTCTCCATATATTTCAAAAAGATTGTCAATGCAAAAATTATATAATATATTGATATGCCATATTTAATGGGCCACTTCAATGTTTTAGCATATCAAAAATATTTTGCAACATTAGTGATGTCATTATGACTCACTCAGGTGACATAGACTAATCTGCTGAACAATTATATATAAGTACAATCCGAATATGCAAGTACAATCCGTATCAACAGTTTTTATTCATCAAGTAGTGTTTATTTGATGTATAACAATGATTTATCATAGAAATCCTTAAGGTTGCGCCCCCATACCCATGGCAATGGTTACCATAGTCACCAATCGTAACTTTGTCCATACTTAGTTAATTGTCAGCAAATTTTGATGGAATAAGGTCAGATATGTTCCATTAGTTGTGAATATTTATGTTCGTTTAGTTGTGAAGGTTTCATGAAGAAAAAAGCAAGAAAACAAAAGTTATAGCAAAATTAGCAATAATTATTGATGCTATATCATATACATTTTTCAATTTAATAACCATTTGTTAATATATTGTAATGTTTGATTATGAAGGAAGAAAAATTCTACAATACAGTACAACATAATACAATATAATATCAATTTTATGTAAAATCTGTTCTTACATATTTAAACTGAATAAACTGATATCAGAAATAACATATCATGACAAAGTTCAGATTTTTAAAACTCATTAAATACACACGATAAACTCACAACAGGTGAGCTGCGTAGCTGGAGTTAAGTACTCGAAGCAAGACTACAAGAAAATATACGCTCTGTTTGATGTTCTGCTATATGAAAATATGCATTATTTTATGTTCTAGTCGAGATGTGTGAACCAGACAACGGAATTTGCCGGGAGAACAAAGACTGCAAACATGGAGAAGAATACGATGATACATTTAAATGCCCGAACGGAAAGAAGCCCCCGAAGCATTACTGCTGCGGTAAGTTTGAATTTGAATTTGTCTCAAAGTCGAAATTATTTAATCATCTCTAGGAGTGCTTTTCCTGGAGGATGCATTGGCCTTACATATGCACCTGTTTAAATCCTCAGAAAATAGCCAAAATCCAACATATGACTGTACTGTCCGAAATCTGTTGCACTACTTTTCCTCCTCCCTTTGAGAAAGACTACACGTTTGAAAATATTGTATATATCTGTTCAATTATTGCTCACGATTACCAAAGTTGTTTTAGATGAGGGTCCATAGCTGATATTGAACATATTCTTGCGAAGTAACAAGTATATTTCAGAGGATTTTGAAATGAGTTTTCATCCCAGGCATCACTGAAAAGAACAATAAGCCCAGCAGTGCAAATTACACATTGTCATAGTATACACTGTAGTTTCTAAATAGCTGAATAAACTGACATTATAGATGTCGCAGTCGCCTGACTGCCATAGCCGTCCGCCATGTTATAAACTTGCGATAGTCACTCAATTTAATGATTTATTAAAAACTGTTGGTCGGATCTGTCTGAATCTCAAATGTCATGACCCTGCAATCAATCAATCCTGCTGTCAAAGTACCTTTTGTGATTAATCATGAAATTTTGGGTTGTCAAACGAATAAACCAGGGTTCTAAGAATCTTAGCATTGCATTAATGGAGATTGGGCCCACGTTTTTTAAAAGGTCATGAAAAATGATTTGAATGACATAACTGTATAAATCAAAGTTATTATTGTGGAAAACTTTTCACTGAATTCAAATATGCTATTAAAAAGAAAGAAAAATTAGTTGTTAGAGGTTAACATCTCATAAAAACGAGAATTAGGGAGACTTAAAAGCTATGGAAACTCGTCTATTAGCGGTGTAAGTGCGCTTGAATGCGCTGTTCTTGCTGAAAACGTGTGAGCATGTAATTTGCAACACAGGGGCTTATTGTTCTTGATACCTAAATACTATATAAACTAAATATTATATGCAATTTACTTGTGCCCCTGGCAGTTCAAAAACGCAGTCCTAGCTCTGCTTTATGTTCTGCTATAGGAAAATATGCATTATTTTATGTTTTAGTCAAGTTGTGTGAACCAGACAACGGAATTTGCCGGGAGAACAAAGCTTGCAAACATGGAGAAGAATACGATGATACATTTAAATGCCCGAACGGAAAGAAGCCCCCGAAGCCTTACTGCTGCGGTAAGTATTTTTTCTCAAATAACAAATTGTAGAAAGACTCCAAGTTTGAAAATATATTTTTTTATCTCACTGGTGATCCACTCGATTACGCTGGTTGTAACAAAATGTCGGAACGTCAAAAGTACGATTTTTCTTTTTTCCTTATTTCACGTGTTGTAGGCAGAATCTTCACGACGTTTTTTCTCACAAACGTATATCAGTATTATATGGTTTATAAAATATATATGTTTGCGAAAAAATAGCCCAGAAGACAACAGAATCGTCGATTTAATTCTTCACTTAAGTTACATAAACGGTTTGGGTTAAAAGTGCAGATCTTAACTGTTTTTCGAAAACCGTTTCTATTTGTTCGCAAATATGTACATTTTCTTAAACATATGGTACTGACTGATACACGTTTGTGTTAAAAATGTCGTGGGAATTCTGCCTACAGCATGTGAAATAAGGAAAAAAGAAAAATCGTACCTTCGATGTTCCGACATTTTGTTACCGAATCGAATCGTTTCAGTAACCAGCGTTATCAAGTGGATCACCAGTGATCTGTCAAATGAAAGCCCATGGATTTAATTATTGCTCACGATTTTCAAAGTCTTTTTAAATTGTGTACCGAAATGACATTCAAAAAAGAATATAATCACAATGTAGAGCAAAATTCCTCAATTCAATAACCTTAAAGTGCCCGATAAAGTATAAAATGCGCATGCGTCCAGGTGTTGATAAACTATAAATAGCGAAAACCCAGGGTTTGTCACCACAAGGTAAGCCAGGACGTGTTGAGAGAACAGCTAGTGTTGATATTGAATTTATATGTAGCCAGATAAGTTTCCTTATTGAAATTACATATGGTTATTAGCAATACTTTGAAGGTGCTAAATAATAAAATATTTAGAGTATATATGAGAGAAATTGGTCATTTCGAACCTGTTGAAAAGTTTGTGGCTCTCGGCTACACCGGGGAATTTACTTCCATGAGTGCACACATAAATGTGGGGTTCACCAAGAGGTACGCGACAAGGTGACCTAGCATCAAATGTGCGACTAAATGCTACTATCGAGAAGATAAAATAACGAATACGACAATAAGTTATTGCATGTGACAATTCCGAGCCTTCATCTCACTGAAGTATTTTGAAGTGAAAATAGGATTTTTGTTTTCATACATGGATTCAGATGAACGTAACTTTATTCTGACAACTAATCAAAACTTAACAAAATTGATTGTACGTAACAGACAATTTATTGTTTTACAATGTTTTGATTGGCTAAACGAATGAAACCAACAAATTATGACATGTAAAATGACAATTTTGAAATGTAAAATTTAAAAGTGACAAACACAACCTCCCTATCCACTCTTTGGGAGCCCTGGTAAATTAGTAATATGTACATGCAGCAGTGGTAGTGTGCAGCTTATTATCACACTACGCTTTGTATTCTAAAGCCTGTTGTTTGTAATAACACTGTTCACTCAACGTATGTTTTGTGTGTGGGCAGTCAACGATAATCATTGTTTTATCCCGGTTATATGACCTCGGCAATTATAACAAAACCGTACTAAACGAAAAAACGCAAATAAGAGAAAGCTTTCACACACATATAAAAAATGAACTAGTCTAATCCGCCAGTATAAACTCTGTGCTATACGTAGCCGGTGTGAAAGAAATGATGGTCCACCAGGGATTATGGTCCCCTTTCTTAACGGCCCTTACTGGCCCTGATTGCGTATAAGATAATTAGGAAAAGAGTTGTATTTAGGTCACCATATAAATCAATGGAGAGTAGGACCATAATTTGATGGGACCTCCTACCCTTTTACACCGGGTCAGGCGCACACTTTAATAGAATTATCGAGCTTTCAACAATAGCTGTTTGCCTTTCTCAAGATGTCTGAATTTGGCGGGAAACTGGTAGATTTGACCTTGACTTGATCTTTGACCTAGCAACCCCAAGCAGGGAAATACGTCTCTGTTAAATCCAGGTTCGATTTTGTGAATATGGGTAGCTTCCTTAATCTTGGATTCTGAGTCGATGATTTTGTAATCCCAGTTTATCTTATGTGCTTCATTAATTGAATGCTGAGCGATTACAGACTTGTCTGGGTTGATTCCTAAGGCGTCTCTAGCTACATGTACATGTTCTCTTATTCTAGTTCTATTGCTCTACCCGCCTCTCCTATAATTTTTTCTTGTCTCAATCAGAGCACTGAAATCCATATATCACTCATATAATAACAGGCCATTCAATATGGTGAATTCTGCACGAATATATAAGCGCAAATGCCAAAGGGAAGGGTGACTGAAAACTTTAAAGAAACCCAACAAGAAAAGCAAACTGTAAGTGTAAATCTGTCATAAGAAAAGTAGACCCTATCTATCCCAAAACCATGATCTAACATGAAAAGAAACAATGTCTAACATCCCCCCTCCGTTGGACAGAACGTCAGTACGACATTCTGTCCAAATCGTGCTGAATTTCACCATATTGAATGGCCTATCATTATTTATTCCTTAATTCATGGAACTTGATAGAATGAAGAACAAGGTACAATCCCCTTAAATGTGATTTTGAACCCGTGCTTGATGACTGATTTATTAGAATTTGTTTTTGTTACCTTTTTTGGCTCACCCTGAGTATTATAAGTCCACAACAGGCCACATATTGCACACACAATGTGTTATCTTTATGAGTGAATGGAAGCAATTAATTGAGTTTAAATGAGGGTTGAGTAAACAATATCATATGGGCATTTAACCACTTCAGTATGAACTTTAATCACTTCATCAACATCCAAACAATATTTGATATATTTGTCTAGTCCCAAGGGGGCCTCTGACGCATCTGACTGCGCCTCCGACAAAGACGCCCCCACCTCCGACAAAGACGCCCCCACCTCCGACAAAGACGCCCCCACCAACACCGCCTGCAGAAGCGAAATATGATACAAAAGGTGAGTTGATCAATGTTTCAAGTAACGCGCCTTTGCCATGAATGTTTTCTTTTTCTTCAGGATACTCTCTAAATAACATATATTTGTATATGAGACATATTTTACAGTCCAAGGCAGTAAAATACAAGTCTGTCAAACCTAAAAAATAAACAATCAAATGACCACAGTGCCATCCTTCTTCAAAGGACTTCATTTATGCTTAAATTACTTTTAAAATACCCTTGCAGCAAGGATGCCACAGTGCAGTAAAACTTCATATTTCAGATGCAAACGTTTTTTTTTGATTGCATGTTGTTTGCTAACAAATGTTTTTTTGACATATTATCAGAAAAAATAATCCTAGCTGAAAATCCCTAAATAACAAGAGTCCATTGCAAATAAAGCTAATTTGTATTAGATGTACAAACGTTTTAAACCAAAAATATGAATATTTTTTCGTGAACTATTTTACTCTGTGGTCTTTTGATTATTTATTTTGTAGGTTTGACAGACTTATATTTCCATTGCTTTGCGCGACACACAGTTATTCAATGATTCAGTCGAGTAATATGCAAAACGTATTGTGCACCTAAAGTCTATATTTCACGAAACATATCAAATGATCTTGGACAATCGTATAGTTAGACGTCGTATACTAGAGGTATACGGATGATGTCGGAGAACTGAATTCCGTATCATTGAAATATTGATATCATTTGATATAATCTAGTGGATTTTGAGAATACAAAGCGTTGCATAACTTTTGCAACCCCCTTCACATGGACATGCTAAGGCACTTATCCAACAGCTCTTCGTTAACAAAAGCCTAATATAAGGGTTGCTTTGGTCCATCAATAGTAAAAAAAACTAGATTTGTGAAATTGAAGAAGTTCAATTTAAGACTCCAGATTTATTTTACCTAGATAGATCAGTAAAGAGCTGAGTAAGTAACTGAGTAATTAGCTGAGTAAGTACCTTAGTAGTAGTTGAGTAAGTAGCTGAGTAAGTAACTGGGTAAAAAGCTGAGTAGGTAGCTGAGTAAGTAGCTGAGTAAGTACCTGAGTTAGTAGCTGAGTGAGTAGCTAAGTAAGTAATAACTAATTAAGCAATTGAGTAAGTAGTCAAATAAGTAGCTGAGTAGGTAGGGAGGTAAAGTAGGGTATGTAGGAATTTTTGAAAGTTTATTTGATCAATCTGCATCGTGAATACTGGCAAGTGCGAATTTCAAACTTCAAAATGGCTTAACTGGGGGTAGGATTGCAATTTTAATTTCAGATCCGGATTCCTTAGGAAATTATGCCCCTAATTCATAACTCATACGTTAAATTTGGAGAACTTTTTATTTTGACCTACATTTCGATCACCAGATCTCAAAAGTGGGCCTAAAAACTTCTTGACGGCAAAAAGTTAACATTATAAGCACACTCTTTGCTACATGTATACAAAATTTCGAAGAATATCATTGAAGTGTAGTGTCCGAATTGCAAAAATAAGAAAAAACTAAGAATTTGACCTAGATTTTGAACTAGGTATTTTGGTGTCCAAATTTTGAAGGAAAGTAGCTTTTGAGGTCCCCTTCTTTTATGGGCTTTCATTATGTTTAGCTGTACTCATTCTATATCTTGTATTTTTACACTTCAAAAAATTATTCGGTCCCATTGATTTAACATGGGGCACCAAATTTAGCGATTTTTGAGCTTTAAAAACATCATAACTTCTGAACAAGATGTCGAATCGAAATTTGGTTTGCAGATTCGGATTCCTGATAAAATTCTACCCCTAATTCATAACTCATACGATAAATTTAGAATTTTTTTATTTTTACCTACTTTTTGGACACGCCATGACTTCCGAACCGGAAGTCGGATCGAAATATGGTTTGCAGATTCGGATTCCTGACAAAATTCTACCCCTGATTCATAACTCATAAGTTAAATTTGAAGATTTTTTTATTTTGACCTACTTTTGGGACACCATATCTCAAAAGTGGGTCAAAATACTTCCTGACGGCAAAAGGCTAACACTATTAGCACACTCTTGGCTACATGTATACACGATTTCGAAGAATATAATTAAAGTGTAGTGTCAGAATCGCAAAAATAAGGAAAAACTTTGAATTTGACCTAGATTTTGACCTTGGCATTTTTGTGTCCAAATTTTTAAGCTAGATGGCTTTTGAGGTCCCCTTCTTTTAAAAGCTTCCATTATATTTAGCTGAACTCAGTCTATATTTCGTATTTTTCACTTCAAAAAAATCTTTTTTCCCATTGACTTAACATGGGCACCAAATTTAGCGATTTTTGAGCTTTCAAAACGATATAACTTCCGAACCGGAAGTCGGATCGAAATTTGGTTTTCAGATTCGGAATCCTGAGAAAATTTCCTACAAGACCAGTAGCGTGGACATTGAATTGGGAGAACTTTTTTTTGGACCTCGTTTTCGGACACTGATATCTCGAAATCGGTTTGAGATATCAAAAAACTAAATCGACCTATTTTCCCCTACTTTTTTATGAGGAACACAATGAAAAAAACCCGGATTGAAAATATTGAAGGACGACCGAGAAAATTGAAAAAAGTGACAAAGTACTGGATTTGACCTAGTTCTTGACCTTTGACCTAGATAAAAATTTGACCTAATTTCCCAGAAAGCCAGATACATTCCCTAGTTGATCATGTAAGCAGCTTAAAGTAAGCTCTTCTAGTTGGTGAGAAATCTGGGAAGGAGGAAGAATAATAATAATAATAATAATAACTAGATTTGTAAATTGAACAAAGTTCAATTTAAGACTCCAGATTGATTTACTTGAGTAAAGAGCTGAGTAAGTAACTGAGTAGGAAGCTGAGTAAGTAGATGATTAAGTAATTGAGTAAGTAGCTGAGTAGGTAGCTGAGTAAGCAGCTGAGCAGGTAGCTGAGTAAGTAGCTGAGTAGGTAGCTGAGTAAGTAGCTGAGTAGGTAGCTGAGTAGGTAGCTAAGTAGGTAGCCGAGTAGGTAAGTAGGTAGGTAAGTAGGAATTTTTGACCGGAAGTCGGATTGAAATTTGGTTTGCAGATTTGGATTCCTGAGAAAATTCTACCCTTAATTCATAACTCATTTTATTTTGACCTACTTTACGGACACCATATCTCAAAAGTGGGTCAAAATACTCTCTGACGGCAAAAGGCTAACACTATTAGTACACTCTTTGCTACATGTATACAAAATTTTGAAGCAAATCCTAAAAGTGTAGTGCCAGAATCGCAAAAATAAGGAAAAACTATGAATTTGACCTAGATTTTGACCTAGGCATTTTGGTGTCCGAATATTGAAATAAGGTAGCTTTTGAGGTCCCCTTCTTTTATAGGAATTCATTATCTTAAGCTGTACTCAATCTATATCTCGTATTTTACTCTTCAAAAAAATTTTTTTTCCTTGACTTTCTATCAGGATAACATCAGATCGATTTTTCTCGAAATTTCAAAACGCCATAACTTTCAAACCGGAAGTCGGATCGAAATTTGATTTAAAGATTCGGATTCCTGACAAAATTCTACCCCTTATTCATAACTCATACGTTAAATTTGGCGAATTTTTATTTTGACCTACTTTTCGGACACGCCATAACTTTGGAAACAGAAGTCGGATCGAAATTTAGTTTGCAGATTCGGATTCCAGAGAAAATTCTACTCTTAATTCATAACTAATATGTAAAATTTGGAGAATTTTTTATTTTGACCTACTTTTCGGACACCATATCTCAAAAGTGGGTCAAAATACTTCCTGACGGCAAAAGGCTAACACTATTAGCACACTCTTGGCTACATGTATACAAATTTTCGAAGAATATAATTAATCTGTAGTGTCAGAATCGCAAAACTAAGGAAAAACTTTGAATTTGACCTAGATTTTGACCTAGGCATTTTGGTGTCCAAATTTTTATGAAAAGAAGGTCTTGTGGTCCCTTTCTTTTATGGGCTTCCATTATGTTTAGCTGTGCTTAGTCTATATCTCGTATTTTACACTTCAAAAAAATATTTTTTCCTATTGAATTAACATGGGGCACCAAATTTAGCGATTTTTGAATTTTTAAAACGCCATAACTTCTGAACCGGAAGTCAGATCGAAATTTGGTTTTCAGATTCGGAATCCTGAGAAAATTTCCTATAAGACTAATATCCTGGACATTGGATTCGAAGAAATTTTTTTTGGACCTCGTTTTCGGACACTGATATCTCGAAATCGGTTTGAGATACCAAAAAACTAAATCGACCCTAGGTTTTCTACTTTTTTATGAGGAACACAATGAAAAAAACCAGGATCAAAAATATTGAAGGACGACCGAGATAATGGGAAAAAGTGACAAAGTACTGGATTTGACCTAGTTCTTGACCTTTGACCTAGATAAAAATTTGACCTAATTTCCCATCATCCCAGATACATTCCCTAGTTAATCATGTAAGCAGCTTAAAGTAAGCTCTTCTAGTTGGCGAGAAATCTGGGAAGGAGGAAGAGGAAGAAAGAATAACTAGATTTGTAAATTGAACAAAGTTCAATTTAAGACTCCAGATTGATTTACTTGAGTAAAGAGCTGAGTAAGTAACTGAGTAGGAAGCTGAGTAAGTAGATGATTAAGTAATTGAGTAAGTAGCTGAGTAGGTAGCTGAGTAAGCAGCTGAGCAGGTAGCTGAGTAAGTAGCTGAGTAGGTAGCGGAGTAAGTAGCTGAGTAGGTAGCTGAGTAGGTAGCTAAGTAGGTAGCCGAGTAGGTAAGTAGGTAGGTAAGAAGGAATTTTTGACCGGAAGTCAGATTGAAATTTGGTTTGCAGATTTGGATTCCTGAGAAAATTCTACCCTTAATTCATAACTCATTTTATTTTGACCTACTTTACGGACACCATATCTCAAAAGTGGGTCAAAATACTCTCTGACGGCAAAAGGCTAACACTATAAGCACACTGTTTGCTACCTGTATACAAAATTTTGAAGCAAATCCTAAAAGTGTAGTGCCAGAATCGCAAAAATAAGGAAAAACTATGAATTTGACCTAGATTTTGACCTAGGCATTTTGGTGTCCAAATATTGAAACTAGGTAGCTTTTGAGGTCCCCTTCTTTTATAGGAATTCATTATCTTAAGCTGTACTCAATCTATATCTCGTATTTTACACTTCAAAAAAATCTTTTTTCCTTGACTTTCTATCAGGATAACATCAGATCGATTTTTCTCGAAATTTCAAAACGCCATAACTTTCAAACCGGAAGTCGGATCGAAATTTAATTTAAAGATTCGGATTCCTGACAAAATTCTACCCCTTATTCATAACTCATACGTTAAATTTGGCGAATTTTTATTTTGACCTACTTTTGGACACGCCATAACTTTGGAACCGGAAGTCGGATCGAAATTTGATTTGCAGATTCGGATTCCTGAGAAAATTCTACTCTTAATTCATAACTCATATGTAAAATTTGGAGAATTTTTTATTTTGACCTACTTTTCGGACACCATATCTCAAAAGTGGGTCAAAATACTCTTTGACGGCAAAAGGCTTACACTATTAGCCCACTCTTTGCTACCTGTATACAAAATTTTGAAGCAAATCCTAAAAGTGTAGTGCCAGAATCGCAAAAATAAGGAAAAACTATGAATTTGACCTAGATTTTGACCTAGGCATTTTGGTGTCCAAATATTGAAACTAGGTAGCTTTTGAGGTCCCCTTCTTTTATAGGAATTCATTATCTTAAGCTGTACTCAATCTATATCTCGTATTTTACACTTCAAAAAAATCTTTTTTCCTTGACTTTCTATCAGGATATCAACAGATCGATTTTTCTCAAAATTTTCAAAACGCCATAACTTTCGAACCGGATGTCGAATCGGAATCTGGTTTGCAGATTCAGATTCCTGAGAAAATTCTACACTTATTTCATAGCTCATATGTTAAATTTGGTTAACTTTTTAGTTTGACCTACATTTCGGACACCATATCTCAAAAGTGGGTCAAAATACTTTCTGACGGCAAAAGGCTATCACTATAAGCACACTCTTTGCTACCTGTATACAAAATTTTGAAGCAAATTATTTAAGTGTAGTGTCAGAATCGTAAAAATAAGAAAATGCTATAAATTTGACCTAGATTTTGACCTAGGCATTTTGCTGTCCAAATTTTAAAGCTAGATAGCCTTCGAGGTCCCCTTCTTTTATAGGCTTTCATTATGTTAAGCTGTACTCAGTCTATATCTCGTATTTTACACTTCGAAGAAGTCTTTTTCCCCATTGACTTAACATGGGGCACCAAATTTAGCGATTTTGAGATTTCAAAATGCTATAACTTCTGAACCGGTAGTCGGATCGAAATTTTGTTTGCAGATTCGGATTCCTGAGATAATTCTACACTTATTTGATAATTCACACGTTGAATTTAGAGAACTTTTTTATGTTCTGACCTACTTTTCGGACGTCATTTCTCAAAATCGGTAAAAGTAATCAAAAAACAATTTGCCTTACGGAATTAGCTTTTTTTCTAAGGAACATGATGAAAAAAACCCGGAGCAAAAATACCGAAGGACGACTGAGAAAACTTGTAAAATAGTGAAAACCCACGATTTGACCTAGTTCTTGACCTTTGACCTAGATAAACATTTGACCTAATTTCCCAGAAACTAGGTTTCATTACCTAGTTGACTATGTTAGCAGATCTAAGTAAGTCCTTTTAGTTGCTGAGAAAAAGTGTTCGGAAAGAAAGAAAGAAAGAAAGAAAGAAAGAAAGAATAATAGGAAAACTGGCAAAAGCAATAGACTCCAGATTTTCATCTGGAGTCTAATAATAAGAAAACTGGCAAAAGCAATAGACTCCAGATGAAATCTGGAGTCTAATAATAATAATAACTAGACATGTAAATTGAACAAGTTCAATTTAAGACTCCAGATTTCAAACTTTGTTTAAGCTGAGTCATCCAGAACTTGTAAGCTGAGTCATTCAGAATAAGCTGAGTCAGCTAGAATATAGACATTTAGACAACTTTTAAGAAGGCTATCTTCGACTCTATTAGCTTAACATGGGGATATCATCATATCGACTTTTCGAGACTTCAAACCGCTATAACTATCTAACCGGAAGTCAGATCGAAATTTGGTTTAAAGATTCTGATTCCTGAGAAAATTCTACCCTTAATTCATAACTCATACGTTAAATTTGGAGAATTTTTTATTTTGACCTACATTTCGGACACCATATCTCAAAAGTGGGTCAAAAGACTTTCTGACGGCAGAAGGCTAACACTATAAGCACACTCTTTGCTACCTGTATACACAATTTTGAAGCAAATCCTTAAAGTGTAATGTCAGAATCGCAAAAATAAGGAAAAACTATGAATTTGACCTAGATTTTGACCAAGGCATTTTTGCGTCCAAATTTTAAAGCTAGATAGTCTTCGAGGTCCCCTCCTTTTATAGGCTTTCAGAATATTAAGCTGTACTCAGTCTATATCTGGTATTTTACACTTCAAAAAATCCTTTTTCTCATTGACATAACATGGGGCACCAAATTTAGCGATTTTTGAGCTTTCAAAACGCCATAACTTTCGAACCGGAAGTCGGATCGAAATTTGGTTTGCAGATTCGGATACCTGACAAAATTCTATCCCTAATTCATAACTCATACGTTAAATTTGGAAATTTTTTATTTTGACCTACTTTTTGGACACGCCATGACTTCCGAACCGGAAGTCGGATCGAAATTTGGTTTGCAGATTCGGATTCCTGAGAAAATTCTACCCTTAATTCATAACTCATACGTTGGATCTGGAGAATTTTTTATTTTGACCTACTTTTCGGACACCATATCTCAAAAGTGGGTCAAAATACTTTCTGACGGCAAAAGGCTAACACTATTAGCACACTCTTTGCTACCTGTATACAAAATTTGGAAGTAAGTTATTCAAGTGTAGTGTCAGAATCGTAAAAATAAGGAAACACTATGAATTTGACCTAGATTTTGACCTAGGCATTTTGGTGTCCAAATTTTGAAACTATGTAGCTTTTGAGGTCCCCTTCTTTTATAAGCATTCATTATGTTAAGCTGTACTCAGTCTATATCCTGTATTTTACACTTCGAAAAAGTCTTTTTTCCCATTGACTTAACATAGGCACCAAATTTAGCGATTTTTGAGCTTTCAAAACGCCATAACTTCCGGACCGGAAGTCGGATCGAAATTTGGTTTGCAGATTCGGATTCCTGAGATCATTCTACACTTATTTCATAACTTTTATGTTGAATTTGGAGAGTTTTTTGTTCTGACCTACTTTTCGGACGCAATATCTCAAAATCGGTAAGAGTAATCAAAAAATGATTTGCCTTACGGAATTAGCGTTTTTTCCAAGGAACATGATGAAAAAAACCCGGAGCAAAAATATTGAAAGATGACTGAGAAAAGTGGTGAATTAGTGAAAATCAACGATTTGACCTAGTTCTTGACCTATGACCTAGATAGAAATTTGACCTAATTTCCCAGAAAGCCGGATACAGTCCTTAGTTAACCATGTAAGTTGGATTAAGTAAGCTGTTATAGTTGACGAGAAATTTGGTGAGGAGGAATAATAATAATAATAATAAAGAAAACTGGCAAAAGCAATAGACTCCAGATTTTCAATCTGGAGTCTAATAATAAAAAGAAAACTGGCAAAAGCAATAGACTCCAGATTTTCATCTGGAGTCTAATAATTTGTTCTTCGAATATAGGCAAATCTGAAGGTTTGAGCTCTAGTGAACCCGAGCCAGCAGGGATCAGCAGGGGCTTACATTCAGGATGCTTCATCATGTATACACTCACTTCCAAAGGCATTTATTCAGGGACCGATGCTTTATTCTCGTTTCAATTTTGGAGATGGACTGTGTTTGGGTGGCAGTGGTCCCCTTGGCAACCTGAAAATAACCCAGGAGATGACAGAGAAGAGGGGCAGTAAGTACTGATTTAAACAAAACAAATGCTGAATTTGGATGACCATCTTGTTTTCTGGAAGCTATTATATGTTTTCAGCTAGGTTTTGACATATCGAACTTTAAAATCTCGCCTATCAGATTTTCTTTGAATCCGTTCAGAAATTTTTGCATGTTCTTGAATGTTTGTGCAAACTGTGGTAACATAGTTATAATGATAACACTATCCTATAGGCTAGGCAAAATTATGGACTGAAATTATTTTTGAGTAATACCAGGTCAAGCAGTTTTCTATTGTTTTGCAGAATCACTTATTGGTATTTGTAGTACATCTTGAAATATGAATGCTGACGACAAAAACAAGTTGAATTGGAAATTGTAGATTATTTTGATTGATTTCAATGGGTTTTCGCGATACCTACTCTTGAAAGTACATAAGTTCATTTATAGAAGAGCTTTTAGCTTGATTTTTATTTTGTATGAAAAATTCTTTTGGGAAATACAACATTTTTGGCGCCAACAAATTTTGGCATTGACATCTACAATGTTTGGTGAATGCAAATATTGCAAAGACATTCGTAATTTCCGATTGACCTGTCAGCCTTAAATTACATTAAAATCATAGAATAACAATAACACTGGTGATCCACTCGATTACGCTGGTTTCCGAAACGGTTCGTTTCGGTAACAAAATGTCGGAACATCGAAGGTACGATTTTTCTTTTTTCATTATTCACACGTTGTAGGCAGAATTCCCACGACATTTCTGTATCAGTATCATATGTTTAAGAAAATGTACATATTTGCGAACAAATAGTTCAGAAGACAACAGAATCGTCGATTTAATTCCTCACTTAAGATACATAAACGGCATTTCGAAAAACAGTTAAGATCTGCACTTTTAACCCAAACCGTTTATGTAACTTAAGTGAGGAATTAAATCGACGATTCTGTTGTCTTCTGAGCTATGTTTTCGCAAACATGTTTATTTTCTAAAACATATGATACTGATACACATTTGTGAGAAAAAACGTCGTGGGGATTCTGCCTACAACGCGTGAAATAAGGATAAAAGAAAAATCGTACCTTCGACGTTCCGACATTTTGTTACCGAAACGAGCCGTTTCGGTAACCAGCGTAATCGAGCGGATCACCAGTGAATAAAATGGAATGTTCATGCCTCTTTATTTAAGTTGGGATTTGTATGGGCCTTACCCTCAGAGGATCGGTGGCCTACCAGCAGACTGGATTTATGTAAGACAAACCACCAGATTTTACGATAGGTGGCAAATAAAAACTGTAAGTACTCTTCCAAAACAAGCTTTAAAGTCCCCGTCTAAAGTTTGAAAATATTTTTTTATCATTCATTTACTATTTGTCATGACTTAAAAAGTTATTTTAGATATTTTTGAAAAAAACAATTTTTTGAAAAAAAAGTTGTGAGCATTTCATTTCTCAAATATTCAAATTTTCAAATATTTGAAATTTTTTAATCATCAAATATTTCTCAATGCATTTCAAAAAAGATTATCCTTTTAACACCAATGCAAAGATTGGACAAAGGACACACTATTTCAATAATAAAATGCCATATTTAATGGGCCACTTCAATGTTTTAGCATATCAAAAATATTTTGAAACATTAGTGATGTCACAAAGGTACCAAAAACTTTTTGAAAAAATTGAAAACTTTTTTTCGATGTCTATCTTTTCTCAATATGCTAGACTTCAATAATCAATCAATATGGATTGTCTAATTAAGTTAAAAGGAAAAATAGATTATGTTTTAGATATCATTGTTCCATTGGTTTCTATGAGAACTAAACTTTTGAAATGCCTTTTTCTCGGAACCATTTTCTTGCACTGATAAGTTCATTTCTCGCTTATTTATTTATTATTTATGTCACTAAGGTACCAAAAACTTTTTGAAAAAAATTGAAATTTTTTTTTCGATGTCAATCTTTTCTAAATATGTTAGACTTTCATAAAAAAACCAATGTTGATTGTCTAACCAGGTTAAAAAGGAGGATAAATTATGTTTTAGATATCATTGTACCATTGGTTTCTATGAGAACTAAAATTTTGAAATGCATTTTTCTCAGAACCATTTTCATGCACTGATAAGTTCATTTCTCGCTTATTTATGAACCGATTTTCTTAATTTTTTCGGCAAAAAACATGGGAAGATGAATGCTATACATTGGTATAAATTGTGGCTAATTAGAAGATATGAGTGACCTCTAAAAGTTGGTTTTAAATAAATTCACAAATTTTGGAACAAAAAGTCTATCAAAAACCACTTTTTGAAATTTAAAAAAAAAGTTTCACATATCACACTTTGATAACATTGGGTAAGACTACAATATAAGCCAAAGTGGTTTAAACTTTATATGGGGCCTTTAATAACTTCACCAATTAATAATATATCATTTTGACACCTTGGTATTTGAGATAGTGAGGAATAGATTGGTAGGTTAGTTGTACATGTTACTATTAATTTTGTCACCCCCTATAGATCTGATTCTGCGTTTGAGGATATATTTGACTGTGAACATATAATACTGGCGTCCCGTGTATTTTCAGATCTTTATGAGGGATACTTGTCATAACATACTGTATGAGTACTACTGCAACGGTTGTTGGGTCTCTAACAATCCAAATGGCGGGACGTGGATTAAGCGGACTACTCCATAATATGGATCAAATCACTGTTGCTCAAGGTACCATTACCAATAGCACTGATTGATTATACAAATATGAATTCAAAAACTAAGCTTGTAATCACGAATGCAACTTTCGGCTGTCGGCTACCGGATTAACCTATTATTTTATTGGAAATTCATTTACCTGTCACTATTCCCTTAATGTTTAAATGAGTTGGTAACAAAACAGTAGGTTTATCCGGTAGCCGACAGTCGTTATTTGCATTCCCGAATACAATCTAAGTAATTGGTTCACTATAGTCAAGTTGAAATCGTTACTAACACCCCAGTCACATTTCCCACGGCCGCCGTGCGGTTTATCATTTCTGCGGCCAGTAGCTTTTCTACGCTCACCGCAGAATTTCTGCGCTCTCATACTTTTGCAGTCACATTTCCCACGGCAGCCGCACGGTGAATTTTAAATTTCTGTTGATAAATATTATATATATATTTATTTACATATATTTATTTACATCAGGACAATTCATAAATGTTATTCATAGTGCTACGATGTAATATCAAATGAAAAGTGATCGTGAAACATTGACAAATAATGATTCAATCTTGTTGAGCCAGTTGATTTCTACGGGGACCTCAGAAATGAACAAATATTATAACTCCGAGTTATAATTTCTACGGCGACCCTGCGGCCTGTAAAAAACTGGATGCGCCGTACAGAGGCCGCAAGGCGAGCGTAGTTTTCCTACGCTCGCCGCAGAAATGCACTGATTTAATTGATCTGCGGTCGACGCACGCCCTCCGTACGACAAATGTGACTGGGGTGTTGATAACAGTCTATGTATTGTTCAACTTTAAATCCAAAATCCAAATCTGTTCATATATGAATTCTAATTTGGGCAAATTCCTTATGAGCAACAGTGAAAATTTTACATCTATACGCATGTTACAACAACAACAACAAAGAGTAACATTTAATGTACATGATTGATAAAAATAAAACAAAATTGTCTTGCAACATTCACTTATTTATGTTATCATGTTACAAGTCATACTACCCATAGATAGAGAGATTGGCTACAATAGGAATCCAGGTGGTGAAGTAATACTGATGCCATAGACACATTTGATCAACGGCAACTGTACGACGACCGTATAGCTTCCCATCCTCCTTAGCAGGTGTCCAGAATCCGTACCTCCTTCTTCCCCCTGCTATAAGCAGTTAGCTTCCCCGATTAAGAACTCGCAATTTGATTGGCTGTTGCAACACTGCGACAGCAATCATGTATACGTCATCGGCGCATAATTAGATCACGTGATTTAGTTTAATCGGGCGCGTCCAACTTGGTTATAGCAGGGGGTAAAAAGAAAGAAGATATTCTGGATTATGAAGCCCTGTGATCGGAGGATGATAGCTTCCCAAAGTCGAGAGAAATATGCATAAAACAAAGGGATAAGCAGTATCATGTAGATTTTTAATATCGATTCTGTGAATCTACAGCTGTCGTATGCCCGCCGTAGAACAAATGTGACTGGGGCTTAAAGGGTTCCGATTAGCATCCCGTATAAAAACAATATGGCGGCCCCAGGCGAATCAACTGGATCAGTCCATTTTTAAGAAATAAGGGGAGTTCTGTAAAATCCAGTTTATTGAAATTGTCTTTGAGATAAAGTAATCCGTTTATAATGATTTTGAAAACGTTATCCAAAGAGTGATTGCGTTCAAATAATACATGTACAACAGCCAATATAAATTCTTGTATTAGAAACCGGGTTGTCTTGCTTTGTTTCATTTGTAGGATATTTCATATGCCAAGCTGTGTGCTATTACGTTATGGGGAAATTTAGATGCCAATTTTTCCTTATTATACACAAATAGAAGATCCTGAAACTTCACCCATAAATGTGGAATTGATTTGTCAAAATAAAAATCACCCTTTTATAAATGTGTGACGATCTATAATATACTTATGCTATATAACAGTTAGAGGTGTTGACACAACGACCTCGAACCTGTGAACCCTTGAGTATTATTCCGGGATCGGGCCTTTTATACTAAACGGTGAGCAACACCAGAAACGAGCGTTCGATTTGCTAAACGATATGCGTCACCCTTTAATATATGAATTGATTAAGTTTAAGTTAAAGGGATATTCCTTGCCAGACCCTTTCTCTCTTGATATGGTAGCTATAATCATATATATAGTTTCCATATTTAGCAAAACATGAGAAAATGTTTTAATATGGTCAATATTGATCATTTAAAAATCTAGTGCTTATTTCCAGTGAGCTGCCATCTTTTAAGATTTCTTGCAGGAAGTGATGTCATCAACTCTCAACTTCTATAACCTTGCCCATAACAGTATAGGAAAGTAGCACAAAATCACTTCTAGACAAGTGATCATTACTTTCTGTGCAAAAATATTTTCAGGGCTTGTCAACTTAGAATAAAAGAAGAGATTTTCAGAAGGATTGAATAAGATACAAAGTTGAAATATTTTTAGCTAGTTTTGTAATTCTTAATAGCTCCTCACCTAATGCTATATGCATAGTTGAGAGTCGATGACATCACTTCCTGTGTGAAATTTTAAAAGATGGCAGTTTACTGGAATTGAGCATCACATTTCTAAGTGATCAAATTTGACCATATTAAAACATTTTTGCGTGTTTTGCTAAACATGGCAAGCATATGTATGGTTATAGCTACCATATGAGGAGAGAGATGGTTTGGCAAGGAATATTCCTTTAAGCAAGTTCCTTCATGCACAACAGTTTGACATGAATACGCATGTGGCACATGTGACTGAATGACATCTGATGATTGTTTTTTCATGACACAATACTCGGAGGTGATGTTACGGTCACGTAAATACAAACGTGCATGTAGCATGTACACCCATTCACTCTAATCATAAAATCAACAAATGATTATTCGTCGAGCCATTTTATTAATATTAATAGTGATATCAAAACCCATTTGCGTTTGTTTTTAATGCTATCAATTATACATTCACCTCCAACTGCCTATTGATGAACCCTCTTTCAAACAGGTATCCAGTGTATTTTATTGTCGTCTACTTCTCTGTAAAATTTGTATATACGGGATCATCATTAAATCTATTTTCATTAGACATTCATACTCGATCGCACATTTGGACAATTATGGGATCACACTCTGATGACAAACGAATAAAGTTCAATTGGGAGGCCGAGTTAGCACTTTTTTGAAGTACGTATATCTGAAACATGTAAGATTATGATCCCAATAGACTATTTCCACCCCTGGCCTTTATTTTGAGTGGTACAAGGAAAATTATGGAATCAGTACATCAACATTTTGCATTATTTCTCAGATATTGGTTCAATAAATAGTGATTTATGCAATAAATAGTTTTTAATATTTTATGTATGTATGTGCGTATTATTTGGTTTACTGTATTCAATATGTATTTATGTTTAAGGTCTCATGATACAGGAAATGACAAAACAGGAAGTGACAAAACCATGCTTGATTTCAAACATTTTTTTAACCAAGATATCAGAGTTCTGTTTTGACCTCCAGTCAATCTAACTAGTTCCACGTATCATTTACATGACCAGGATCACAATGTACATGGTCAGAATGACCCTAAACATGATGAAATACCCTGTTCAGCCCTCTGAAAAGGATACTGAAAAATAGCTAAAAATAGGAGCATAGGAAAGGTCACTGAACAGAATCTTTTGAATTTTTCAGAAAATGTGCTCAATGTATTGCTCTAAATGATACAATCTTTGAAATTTTAGAAAATTGTCTGAAACTAAAATGGCGGTCATAAAAAGGAAAATAGATCGCTTATCAATTCGATTCTTTTCATTTTTTTCTTTTTCTACGAATGATACCAAATTTTCAAAGATCGTATCATTTAGAGAAATATTTGAGGCAGCTTTTCTGAAAAAATTCAAAAGATTCTGTCCAGTGACCTTTCATAAGCTCCTACTTTTAGCTATTTTTCAGTCACATTTTCAGAGGGCTAAAAGTTATTTCATCATGTTTAGGGTCACTCTGACCATAGCCATTGTGACCCTGGTCATGTAAATGATATGTGGAACTAGTTAAACTGACTGGAGGTCAAAACAGAACTCTGATATGTTGGTTCAAAAAATGTTTGAAATCCAGCATGGTTTTGCCACTTCCTGTTTTGTCATTTCCTGTGAACTACTGATCTATTCCTTACAATTTCAAATACAACATCTTCCAAAAGATTCACAATATGTTATAAATTGGTGAAGTTATTAATGATTCAAAGTGCAAAAATGGGTGAAAAATGTTTAGATTCTCCCAAATAATAAGAATGGTAACCATTCTTATAGAAAAATAATACATTATTGTAAAAATCTAGTTTTCCTTGAATAAAGTATGCAGTTTTGTGATTTTTAGAAAATAGACTGGACATGACATGAGTCAAAAATATTCTAAAATTGAAACAATTTTTTGTTTAGCCTGCTCGCTATCTCTGATTCTCTCTTTAAATATAAAATAAATTAGATCTTCACCGAGAAAATATTTTATTACATCGTTTTAAAGTGTCTCACATATTCGATCAAAACTTGCCATGCAAACATGTTAGTCTACTTTACTGGCCCCCCTTGCTGTAACAAGGAACACAAAACACATTAAAACGTAAACATAAACCAATTAGTCACTTCACTATGAAAGTGAGGGGTGTTAGCAAATGTGTATTAGCAGAATACGCTGTGTGCATGGACTAACTCAATATCAGTGGTCATTTACTGTGTCAACTTAGTAACCCTTGCATATCGTGCTCACTCAAGTATTGAATATTTTTTTGATGATCTAAATGTTTGTGGTTTATAAAAAATGTGATATATTTTAGTTAGAAATACATTAATAAATATATTCATTCAAATAGCACTAGGCGGGAAGAAAGAGCAATGGTGACAAAATGCAGACAGCATTTTCCGTAAGGGATTCAAACATTTCTGGACACAATCATACATACCATACATGTACTTCATGTGTACTGTTATTTTTAGTGCTGTATTTATAATTTCACGTATTAAAATCATATTTTCCACCAATGACTTCAAATCGGGAACCATCCCCATATCACATTTTCTTCAATAACTCCAAACATGTGTAAACATTGACCATGTGCATGTAAATTCA